GCAAAGACACTGTAGATAAGACCTGTCTAATATTTTTCTTTTTGCATCTTATATGGAAGTCATATCTGATATTATCATGGATTGTTGTTTTTTAAGAGCACTATAGTTGATATTTCATAGGGTATATATTTTGTATATTATTAGATCACTATGCTTTTACTGCCACATTTTATTCTGCTTATTTGTGGGGAGAAAACAGTTTACATGTTTATCAACAACTTAACTTTGCATGGTATTTACCAGTTACGAACCACTACATTCATCACTTATCTAATTTTTAAACCAGGCTGTGAGTTAGAAAATACAAATATTGGATTTCTGATACTATGGACTGAAAGATTATTCAATTTTCTGATATTATAGATAAGGAAACTTTTAAAGATTTGCTCATGGCTAGAAAGCTAGTTTGTGGACATATGAGCATTATTTTAGGTTTTCATTAGGGCGGCTTGAAAAAGTTACAGGCTCACCAGGAGCAAAGTCAGCCTAGTAGAGGGCAGACAGGCGTTCAAAACCAGACCTTCTCGCTTTGACGCCTATATTTGCCATATTATCATGGTGTTTTATATTTAATCTATTTCTAAAGTTGGGTTTAGATTTCTGATAAAAGCTACTTGATTTATTTAAAAAATTTAATCTTGCTCCTCTATAATAGACTATGATGTATTTCCTCAATTTGATATATTTTTAAATTGTATCTGTCAAGTGGAAAATTTAATACCTCTTGCTATTTTTGTAAACTATTATGGACCTCAATCTTGGTGTGAGCATGTATAGGAAATGGGGTTAGGGGTTAGGAATGTTTGGACCGAGAGTCCCAAATCCTGACTCTTAGCTCAAACTGACCTTAGTAAGTACACAGGAAATTTCTTAGAGGATTTATTTCCAAATGAACCAAATTGCTTTTACAGAGAGGGTAGAATCAAAACTGTATGGGGAATTTAAATGCATTATGAAGTATTCCTTGCTTTTGTGTTTCTAATTTCTTAAATTAAAAGTCTGCCATTCAGTAACTCCAGAATCATTTATTTATTTTATGAAAATAATCTGATAATAAACGAAAGTAAATGACCATCACTTGTATTCTTTTGAATATCAACCCCTCAATGTCACCTTGGAAACCCAGTTCATCTTATGTTTTGTGTTCCTATTTTTACCTCACCAGTGGCTTTGTAAAAAAAGTCACTTAGTTTTTAAAAAATTATATATTACTTTTCATGTATGGACAACTATATCGTGTACTTTAGAGTAAAAATAAAAATAAAAACAATAAGATCCTAATAAGAAAGAATAGGACAAGAAGGGAAGGGAAGTCACAAAGGAATTGGGCTAAATAGTTTGAGGTGGCTGCGCAAACTCAAGTCTAGTAAAAGGCATCTCCATGCACGGGGTCTCCAGGGAGGCTGCAGCAGGGCTTGCACGACGCCAGGTGCCCCTGCACTTCTACCTGAGGAAAGGTGTGGTCAGCAGGGAACATGCCCACCCGACTCCTGTGTTAGTTTGGCTGTATTTAGTAGCAAAACAAAGCAATGAATTAAAACTTTTTACTAAGTGCTGGTTACACTGCTTTGTAATCACGAATTCACCTGAACTTCACAACCTGAATGTAGATATGATTATCCATATTTACATACTAGTAAACTGAGTCTCGCTGCTTGGCAGGAAGCCAGCTCTGCAGGGTGGATTAGCACGTAGGAATAAAGGAATGATCTTGGGGTCAACGCTTGTGTTGAAGGGACAGAAGCAGACTTGGGCAGGCAGAGGAACTGGCGGGCAACAGGCCCCTGTGGACACTGGGGACTCCCAGAGCTGGCATGGCCTTCCAGAGGTGTTGTGAGCTGAGAAAACGAGTCTGGGCCTTTATCTCATTGTAGGGACCAGAAAGGTTTCCCTTTCTGTGGTGGACTGTCTCCGGGGAAGGGCATGGCCTTGGAAAAAGCAGCTCTCTTCAGATGAAAATAAATCCAGGAAAGGACTAGCAGCCTCGATCAGTTGTGGGACAACCTTCTGAGCTTCTGGGAGAAAAAAAAAAAACTTCAATCCCAAAATAGAGACCTGGGTAGTGGAGCCCAGAATCCATACACCGAAGGTAAGTGTCAATGACTTGCCCACGGCCACAGTGCCACACATAAGGTTGAAACTATAGTTTTGTTTTGCTCCAAAGTCCACTAAGCCGCAATGAATTAACTTTCATGTTCAGACAGAACCCGTGGCAACCTGTCATCATGGCACGTGCATTTCTTTTGTTGTTTGTATATCTATTTAGTGCCTATCATAATTAAGCGTAACATTTTAGCCATTGACAGTCGTACAAATAAATATTAATTGTACATGTGAATCTCTAGATGAACCTACTTATTTTGTTATCTTTTGTGAATTGGCACTTTCGTCTCCTTTGCACACATTCAGTGGATTCATTTTAAGCAATAAAATGAGCGAGGTTAAGTCTGGTAAACATTACTCTTCCTCAGCTTTGGCCTTTCAAACACGAATTATAGCTGAGGATAATAGTCTTGTGGAAGCACAGATAGGCAAATACAGTGATCTCTCAGGGCAGGCATTCTAAATCATTTAGCTTTTTGAAATATAGGTAATGAAATGGTGACTTGCTTCATTTTTTTCTTTATAAGAAAGATAATGATTTCCCTGTAGGAGCTCATAATGTGGCAAATGTCTGAAGGAAATGGCATAATGGAAAGTGAATGCATTATAGTGCTTCTTTGTCTCATTGCTGGAAAAAAATAACATTGTGATAAATTATGTGCTCTATTCACGATTTACCCAGACATCCTGGCAAGGGTAGAATAATTATTTCCATTAATGTCAAATATCTTCTGAAGACCGATATAAGTCAATTCAGCTTAATTTTATACTTTATTATAAAACCATGACAAAAGAAGGGAAAGTTAAATTAATATAAGCCATATCTTCATACTCTGGTCTTCACGAGTAATTAAAAATGAAAAATGAGATTCCGAGTAAGACTTTTGGTACTTCTGTCAGCCGGTGTGTTCCTGCCAGGCAACGAGGGACCACATTTGACATGCACATAATTTAATTGTCAGTTCAGTTTGCCATTTACAGTGCAGTAAAAGATAATAAGTTTTAAAAAATATATTCTACTCCTAAAAAGAATTAGCTTGCATAATGGAATAATCTCTTGCGTATGTCAATTAAATGACCCCAAAACCAATGAATTATTTTATATAGCTAACTACAGTGGACAAAATAAAATAATTTATTTTGAAGCAGATAAAAAAACCTCACCTTAGAATCCTTTTAAATTAATAAATAAGAGTCATTGGTCCCTTTTTTCCTCCAATAATAACAATACTAACATTGTTTTTATTTTTTGTTTATTGTTTTAAAAATAGATGTAACGCTTCAGTCTGATACTCCTATTTCAAAAAATAGTTGTGGTGGACCCCATAAGATGCTTCCCTTATATAAAAAGAGGGCATCCTGCATTCGACAGCAGTAACTGAACAAGCAGAGAACTTCACAAAAGTGTCGATGGGATCGTCAGAGCTGCCACAGAGGAAAGTTTGAAAAGTATTTCCTATAACCAAAAGTGAGTGCAAATTAACACAAAGCACCCAGTTGTTTTGTTAAGGTGGAATTAAGAGGCACGTATCATAATATTTTAATTTAACCTTACTATTTCAGAAATGTCAATACTCATAATTTTTAGCAAGTCAAAATTATTTTTGCCATCATGGCAAAATATCTAACCAGTCATGTATCTTGCTAACCTTAAAATTTTATGGAGCTCTATTTTAATGACATTTTAAGATGTTTGGAAAACCTTTAGTTAATTCAACTAGGTCTTTATTTTAAAATAAAATAATCACCCATCATTCTACAAAGTTTATTCCTTGTCACAATACCATTTCTCTGCACACTCTCCAGTAGTTGATTAGTTGATTCTTTGCATATAACAAAATAATCTTGAATTTTAAATAGGGTAATTTATTAGACCTTGCCCAGGTTATTATTGAGTATTGTGCATAAACTACTATTGACAATCCATTTAGGAACAAAAATATACAAAAAGGCTTTTAATTTAACAAATAAACAATTCACTTAAACGTGTATCACTGTGGTTATCATTTGTTCAGAGAGATGGCTGTGAGTGCAGCCTTTTCCCATGGTGATGAAATGGTTATTTGAATTGTCCTGTTGCATTTCTCTAATTTACACATATGCAGCGTTGAAGGAATGTCTGGAGGAGTGGGGCTGCCTCACAGGCAGACACTTTCCAATGGGCTGTAAACATTTCGTGCTGTTAGGAGACTTTCCCATTTGTCCCAATGTGCACGTTAGAGTCCGTGGAGGAACGAGCATCGTGTGCCCCCTGGTTTCGGAAGGGGGGGCAGCCCGGCTGGCCGAAGCCACTCGGAGCCACTCAGGGTCCCCTGCACGCTCAGGTTCCAGCGCTGAGCAAACTCTGCTCCTGCTTCACCACCTTCCAGACTTCACATGTTCCGCTCCAGGCCTACTGCTCGTTCATTGTTGAAGCCATCTCAGCTCATCCCGCAGCGCCGGTGAATCCAGTTACAGCTTTTCTCTTCTATTTTCGGGGAAGGACAGAGAAGCAGAAGACATGACATAGACATACGGCTTCTTTTATTTTTTTAAAATGTAGTTTATTGATTTCAGGGAGAAGGAGAGAGAGAGAGAAACATCAATGATGAGAGAGTCATTGATCGGCTGCCTCCTGCACACCCCCAGCTGGGGATGGAGCCCGCAACCCGGGCCTGTGCCCCGACTGGGAATTGAACCCCGATCGCCTGGATCCTAGGTTGATGCTCAACCGCTGAGCCACACCGGCCGGGCTATATACTTTAGTTCCCAGCTTAATGTTACCTTCCCTGAGCTACCTCTGTCCCTCAAGATGAGCTCTAAGCCAGCAGGAACTAATTGCAATGTTTTAACATATTAACTGTCCCCACAGGGCAGAAGAGTGCCACTAAAATGGTCAAGAACATGGTGAAGTGTCGTCACCCTGAAAACTGCTGCTTCTCCCTTTGGATGGACTTCACACAGAGAGGTGAGTAACCAAAGTATCAAAGATTTTGCTGTCTTATTAAAGATTCCACTATGTATTGTTTTCTCAGATCCTCCACTTTACACTGGCAGTCCTGTGCTTATCTTAAATGCAAAATGTATTCAAATTATTTTTATGTCTAGGAGATAGTAAACAATTATTTTATAAAATAATTCAAATACATCTTACCAAATAAGTTAAAATGCACATTAATTCCAGTTACAAGACAGCAATTCATTCTATGTCAGTTAAATGTTTTTAGTTCAAAATACTGAAAAACTATCTTAGATTTTCAAAAAATTAGAATAAGAATTTATAGCTCAGGTGGCTGAACAATCGAGGTGAGACTGAAATATGTCTAAGACTTGAGTACTCCTCTCTCCAGTGCATAGAAAGAAGAAGAAAACATCAATAATGGCCAAAGATAGGGCTGCCAGGTAAAATACGAGTGTCCAACTAAATATCAATTTAAAAAAACAATATTTTTTGGTATAAGTATGACCTAAATATTGGATGGGACATACATATTCTAAACAATATTTATTTTATAAGAAATTCTGATTTAACTGGGCATCCTATATGTTTATTTGCTAACTCTGGCAACCCTCGCTAAATAGATGTTTCCAGTCAGTAGGTTGTTTTTTAAAATGCTGCAGAGCTCAGCTGGCAAGGCTCAGTGGTTGAGCGTCAACCCATGAACCAGGAGAGCACAGTTTGATTCCCCATTGCCCGGCTTATGGGCTCAGTCCCCGCAAGGGGCGTGCAGGAGCCTCTCACCCTTGATGTTTCTCTCTCTCTCTCCCTCTCTTTGAAATCAATAAAAATATATTTAGAAAAAATAAACAGGTGCTGAAACAATTCATAATCTATGTAAGAAAAAATGTGTAGCTTTTAATCTTACATTATATAGCAAAATAAATTTCATATGGATTACAAAATTAAATATAACAAATAAACCATAGTTAGAAAACTATATATGGGGAAATACCTCTGATCTTGTGCATGGAAGAGTTTTACAGAACAAATTCACAAGAAATAAAATATTTTATAAAAATCTAATAAACAAGTTAGAACAAAAACTCGATGTAACAACCTAGCTACTTCTTATATTAGTATAGGTTGGCAGTCATAATCTGTTTTCTTTGGATCCAGGGGCACCTTTGAAAGGTGAATCTTATCCTTGTAAACAGAAAAGTACCAATCTTAAATTTCTTTATGTCAACCTTTATACATTTCTGCAATACATAGTTTAATTGAATTTTATACTTAATTTTATTATTTTATAAGTATATAATTTGCATGTATATTATTATAAATAGTTTCAACCCAAGGATTAAAGACATTGTATTTAGTGGATTTTACTTTCAATAGTTACTGAGTCAGATGTACATTTGTCATATTTAGGACAGATCTCATTATAAATATATATATAGTGAGAAGTCTATATAGAAAAATTGAGTAAAAAACGGGCATGGGCCATCAGGTAGGCAATGCTTCCCTCTAAATAGAAAACTTCCCCGGTTCTTTAAAAGATAATGGAATTTGAAATTTGTTTTAAAATGAGTAAGCTGAGTTTTAGTAAATACTACATTAAAAGAATCATTGTTAGAAATTCTCATAGGGAAAGCTTTGGTGAGAATTGGAAAGTCGACAAAAATACTTTCTGGGTAAATATGCATGGCGGTGGAGAATACAAAAGTTCCAAAAAGTGTTGCAAAGTTATTTTTGCCTAAAAAACTTAAAATAAGTTACATTTATTCTGTATTTACCAAGCTCTCTTTTTCATAAATGCTATAAATTTAATGAATGCCCCTTAAGGCTTCTCAAAGTCACTTTTGACAATAGCTTGTATTAGATAGTGTAAAGGCAGACAGCAGTTGGGATAATATTACACCAAAAATTAAATGTCAGTGAGCACTAGCATTACAACATCAAAGCTGTAAGCCAAATAAAATTGATGTTTTGCATACCAAGAATGTGTATTTGCATCTTTTTTGTGTTGTTAATATTTATCTTCGATGCAACCCAAGATAAAGTATTCTCCGTGGAAAGGCCAATATACTCGTTTTTAATGTTCAATAAACCTTATTTATTTAAAATTCTGAGCTTTACATGTTTTGGTTCTCCTAAGGCTTTTATTTAGTCTCCATGTTGCTTCATTATAATCCAAGGACAGGTATTTCTAAAGTAGGGAACTTCCATCAAAATGATGGATAATTGAGAATACTTTGCCCATGCAGGCACATCAGGGCAAGTCAGCTACATGAACCCACACCCTCAGTTGACCTTAAGGATTATTTTAGAAAAAGAAGGAAAGTTAGAAGGAAGGAAGTAGGTCAGTTGCTGTCTAGGCATCTGCTGCATACTATCTTGGAAATTATATAGCAATAACCTAATTTATTAAAAGAGGAAAAATAACTTTGCATAGTCAAGTAATATAAGGGGAGAAAAGAATAATTATTGGAAAGGAAGAGACAATACATTTTTGCAGTTGGTATGATTTTCTACACACGTACTCAAATGAAATTTTCTATATAGAAAAGACAATCAAATAATTCTATACAAAATAATAAAATCCAGAACAATCAGATTAAATAGACACACTATTAGGAATTATAAAAATGTACTGCTAGATACAAGAACAATATATGAGAATTAGTGACTTTTCTACATACTGTTAGAATATAATTAGGAAATATGTTTTAGAAAAACATCCTAGTCGTCGTAAAAGCAAATATTACCCCATGCCTGGGAATGAATCCAACACAAACGGGCAAGACCTTCATGGAAATATTCCAGACGTTACTGAGGACAATGACTGAGACCCGAATTAGGGCACAGCTGTCCCACATGAAAGAACGTAGGGATTGAGATTGTAAATATGTCAGTCTTGACAACTTAATACAAAATTATACACACACACCAACTTGATCGTAAAATCATATTGCAGGTAGGAGATAAAACATAATTCAAGCAATCTTAAATTAATAGGTTTATTTTCCTATCCTAATGCTAAGACATTAAAATGCAGTGGCGATTATTTCAGGGTGGCATTAGCACAAGGGTAAAGCAAATGACTGATGGGACAGAAAGAGCATTTATAGAAATGTGACACAATAGAGATGGCATTGAAGACTGAGAAGGCAATTATTTTGGAATGTTTTATCATGCAGAGAAAAATGAAGTAAAACCAGATTCTTATTGTACTTTAAAAGTCAAACAAACTCCAGGTGGAAAGAAGACCCAAATGTGACAACATTTTAGGAAAAAAGCGCAGGATAATGTCTTTGTGATCTTGGGTAAGATGGATACTTTTTTAAATATTCAAGAGCTAAAAATAATGAGTAAAATTTTAAATAATATTTTTATTACTAAAAGAAATAAAGGATACCATACTAAGGTTAAAGCAAAGCGATATTTACAACTTTTACAAATAGCAAGAAATAGTTCCCAGACAGAAAATCTACAGAAGCATAAATCTGAAATACCATTTTACTTCGTACCCATCAGGTTGGCAAATATGGGTAATAACAAGCAGTGACAAGAAAATGGAGAAATAAAAAAATCTCAAACTTTTTATAGGAGTATAAATTGGTGGAAAGCCTTTGGAAAGCAATTGGCCATTTCTAGTAAAGAAAAGATGTTCATAATCTATAGCCCAGTAGTCCTACGACAATTGTATTTCCAGATTTATTCTTTAGAGAAATTCTAAATATTTCCAGAAGAACATTTATTATAACATTGTTTGTCTCAATAAAAATTAAAAGTGTTTTAATATACATAACAGGGGAATGGGAAGTCATGTTTTCAGAACAAAGTTGAGCAGCAACAAAAAATCAAGTTGAATATTGCCGCATGCGGTAAGATGATGTTTTTATAAATGTTAACCAGATTGGAGAATGTCTACATTGTTTATGAGGCAGAGATCTAAACTTTAAAGATGAGACTGTGCGTGGGGAAGATGGACAGACAACCTCGGGTTAGTGGTTGTTTATGAGGAAAAATGGAAGGTCATGTCACTCCTTTCGTTACACAGCAATCACAGAAAATTACACACAGGTAAACTACATGTGATCTTACTAATTCATCTATAAAGGAATAAAATTATATCTACTTCAGTGTAAAGTGAGTGAACCCTCTGATCAGTAATGAGGCTGGTTTTAAGCCGTCAGATGGGCTGTGAACTGTCGGTTGAGGGGAGAACCCAGCTTTCTATGGAGAGAATGTGTCTTCCTCAAGAAGGCAGGGTAAAGCTGTGCTTCTCTCCAGGCTTCCAGAAGAATTTTAAAAATATTATCCGGGTACCACTTATTGGAGAAATCAAAGACATTTACTTAGAACCTAAAAGCAAAATTCAAGTCATTGTAAGAGTTTCATAAAAACGTTTTTGAAGACATCCATAAATTATACTCATTCCTTTGTTCGTTCTTCTAGAAAGTCCATAGTTTTTTTTCTGACTTATGATCGTTTACCAGCTTCCACATGAATAGTAATGTGCCTTCTTATATTTTCTTGATTCATCTCCAACACCAATCTTTTACCGCTTTGATCCAACTCTCAGGACGCGGAGCCGGTGCCTGAGTTTGCTACGTGTCATCAGCGACTGGGTTTCACATGGTCAGGAACCAGCACCATCACCTACATTTTGCAAAGTCCAGGGAAGTGCGTGGAGGTTTTTACAAAGATTGACGGAACGATCATGCTGTAAACCACTGGAGTGAAACAGTACCCTTCAGTTAGGAAGAAAAATATTAAATTGTCCTTACTGGGGATTTTAAAAGCTATCTACAGTAAATCAAATGTCCATAGGACTGAAAGTACAAAATGTCACTTTCAGGTTGATTTTTAGAGAAAAAAGGAAAACACTGAATCCCATTTCAATGTAGATTGGTTGCCCTTCATGTAATCCAAACGTGTTGAGGGAATATACATTTCAAGAGCATTTTATGTTTTATACTTTAGTAAACTGCACCTAAATTTTAAACTTCAGGGAAGCAATAACC